CCCCAAAACCCCAAAACCCCAAAACCCCAAAACCCCTTTTATTTAATTCTTTGCTGAATTTAAATAAAAATTCAAATAATTTAAAAATGCCTGGAGGCAAACCTGTCAAGAAACCTATTAATAACCATAGCGTCAAGCCTGATAGGAAAAGGGATAATTTCGATGATTTTAATAAGAATGAATATGAAACTGAGCTTATTAAGAAGGAACAGCAATATAAAGACTGCCTTGAGTACATTGAGAGACTTGAAAAAGAAATAAAGCGCTACCAATCAATAGTCCCTCTAGAAGCTATTGATACAAGAGCTACTTCTGTTGACTATGTTGATGATATTAATTCACATAAAGAAAGCATGGGAGAGTACATGGAATTGGTCATCAACCATCCTCTTCTCCATTCTTATGAACAGAATATTAGGTCTCTAGAAAGAGATCTTGAAAATCAAGAAAATAGCTATAATAATCTCAAAGGAGACCTTGAAAAGACCATGGATGAAAATGAAGAGTTGAAGGTTCTTCTTGTAAAGAAGACCAAAGAACTCAACAAAGCCTTGGAAGGTAACAGCTCGATTCCTCTTCCAGATGAGACTGAAAGAGAAAGAGCAAGAAGACTTGGTGGTACTTCTGAAGAAATGCTCAATCTGATTGAAACAATGAAAAATGACCAAGAAGCTCTGATTGATCAAATTGAATCTTTGAAGATTAGAAATGAAGGGCTCGAGAAGGTCACTGAAGAGAAAGAAAGTAGGTTCCATGAACTACAATCTGCTGCTGAGCAAGCAACTACCGAATGCTTTAAAATCAGGCAAGAATTCGATAAGCTCAAGCATACGTATGATAGTCTGAATAATGAATTCCATATTGTCAATGGCAAACTGGAGAAAGAATCAAGAGAAAAGGATGATCTTCTTTCAAAAGAGAAGAACTTAGAAAGCAAGATGAATGAGCTGAGCAAGCATCTAAACCACTTGAAAGAATCATATAATGAACTAGGTGACAAGAAGGCTGCTGAAGTAGATGCTCTCTCTAGGGAAATCTCAGAGTCAGACCTTAGAGAAAGAGAACTGAAAGGAAGAATCGAGATTTTAGAAAGAGATAAATTCGATGTTGAAGAGGAATTCCGAAAAATCAAGAGGGATCTAGCAGGTACTAAGAATGACAACCAAAACATGATCCAGATTATGGAACAATACGAAACTGAAATAGAAAATCACAAAAAGAGAGCTAAGCAAATAGATACCTTATCTGAAGAATACCAAGAAAAGATTGAGAATACTCGCCTTGAAAAAGATAGGCTGAACCTGAAAGAGCAGCACTATCTTAGCAAGATAAACAAGCTTGAAGAAGAAAATAGGGCTGATGCCAAAGACAGGGATGAGAAATACACCACTTTGATTGAAAGTTTGAAAGCTAAGCAAAGACTTGTGATCGAAGAAAGAGACTCTGAGATAAGCGAACTCAACAAGAGATATTCAGACTATTATGCTCAGAACGAGAAAAACAAGATTGAAAATGATAGACTTAGAAGTGAAATCACTAAACTTGAAAAGGCTCTCAGAGATTCTAAACATGAAGTTGATAAAAAGTGTGATGATTATGAGAGAAAGCTAAGAAATTCTAATGAAGAAAAAGATGAGAATCATCGCAGACTTGAGAACGACAATCTTCAATACAAAAGTGAGATTGAAACACTTCAGCTTGATATCCGTAATCTCAACCAGAATTGTAGAGATCTTGAATCTAAGCTAGCTACATATAAAAGTGATTATGATAAACTTAGTGAAGACTACAGAAGGACAAAGGAAAGTTATCGAGTTGAGAGAGAAGAGAAGGAGAATTGTGAGCTTGAAATGCTTCGTATTAAGGATCTCTACAACACAAAGATGCAGGACCTCCAGAAACGCTTGGATAAGCACCAAACAGATGAGACTGAGAAGAACGAGTCTGTGCTAACAGAACGTAACAATTACTTGAAGATAATCAAGAACTTAGAGCATCTGAATGAGAAGTGGAAGGCAGAGTTGAATTCAACTGTGGACTACTTCTCGAGACTGGTGATGTCTCTCAATCAGGAGAATCAGCAATATAAAGACCAGAACCTGGAGCTCAAGAAAGAAATGAAAAGGAAGGATATTGGCTATGGAGTTGATAAAGACACAAGATTTGGAAAATCGAAATCGAGGGAAAGAATTAAATAATGTAATTTCTCAATTTTAGACAAACTAGAGGGGTTTTGGGGTTTTGGGGTTTTGGGGTTTTGGGGTTTTGGGG